GAACGGTTTGTGAGTCATTGACCTTGACTAAGTATAAACAAGTCAAATTTTGTTCGTTAGCACAATTTCAATTTTGGTGTGATCATTTATATTGATGTGAAGTCCGTATTCGATGTTTTTTCAATGAAAGGTTTTTGAGTTATTGGCTTAAATATATATAGTAAATAAGAACAAATGTATTAGGAAGATCTTTTATAAAATAAAATTCGTATAAGTCACTAAAGACTTATTATTTCTGACAGCAGTCAGAACGCGTACGTTACCTTACCTGGCAAGCTATCTTTTTAATTTTACGGGACTTCACGTTTGTCGGCGACAAGTCGATGTAACGGGGTTATTCTCGAAGCCCTTTCCCGAATGCATCAATTACTTTATCGCATTGACCAGCAAATCTGCCGCTCATCAGCAGCTGTCCCCATTCGGTCTTGGCAAAAGGTACATAAACCAAATATTAACGATCCGAACCGCAAAACGAACCCCAAATCCAAACAAAATATTGGCAAAATATTAGCAGCTATTGAACTTTTCACATGAGAAAGTACATCAATCATAAGTGAGGAATTACTATTACAGTGGTATCAGGTTACTAGAAGGGTAAGCCTACTCTGACTGGCACCGCACACATCATAGCTGCGTTTTCGAGATTTGACACGTTTCCGGGCAGAAAAGATGCGTTCAGCTGTCTAAGAGCTTCAGAACTTCCTGGTAACTAGTTGACATGTCTAAATACGCTATTTTGTTGAGTCGCGCAGACCGCCAATAAAATTTTAAAGAATGAACGTACAGGAATGAAAAAAGGCCGTCATCACAACTCACCTGCGTTCACCTTTTGAAGACGGGAAAGAAAAATATAACTCAACGCTGTTTTCATAACATTTTGAATATCCAAAATCATAATAAGAGAGGGGCGTAGCGGTGCCAATTGCTGAGCAAGTGACCAATCCCCCCCCGCCCCCACCCCCAACCCCGACCTCTCCCCCAATCTGTTTTGGCGGATCGATAACATATCTCAGGTCGTGAAAACATCATTGAGGATCTCTTCATGAAAATTTAATCAAAAATATACAACATGTATATCTAAAACAATTAATTATAGTGAAATACAGTAATAAGAGCGTTGGTTAAAATGCCACGTGGCTTTGTGTAGGTGTGTCCACAAGATCTGGATAAGAAACCTGATGTTACGGAAAGTAATTAATTATATCAAGAGGTAATAAGTCATTTTTTCAGTCAATACCTGTCGGTAGCGTTTGGTTTTCGAAACCAGTAACGATCAAACAAAATAAACAATATAGGTATGTGTACTCTCCGAAAGGGATGCTGGGTTGATATGAGCATACCCTGCCTATAGCTAGCGACACCCATCACTTTCTGGGGATAAGCAAAGATAACATTGGACATGTTTCATACGATTTAATTAGTCTCCTGGATTGAGAAAAAATATATATATTTTGATACATAATGCGAAGAAACTTGTTTTCAGATTACCTGGAAGTTGTCCAAACATATATTTGTTGTGTGCTCATTCCAATATGTATAACTACAGCAGAAGAGATATTATAATAATGATATTATGGTCAACATTGGACCAAATAACGCGTCTTGAAATTATAACTGTACCCAGATGGCAAACATAAGATCTAATTGTATTTTCGTCACTGTTGTTTGGTACATGGTTCTTCTTCTATTTCCGCGAATTGATGAAGTTTGGTCATCAAAGTTTATCTTCAGTTGACAGTCAGAAAAAAATACCACCCATACCAATTTGCTTCAATCGTTTGGGCTGGATAGTTTAAAAATCTCACTATCCAATAGAGATAAGGGTGGTAGAAAAATTAATGATATTGTAATAATATACTATCTGAAAACTAATTCTTGAATTAAAGATAGCTTGCGAGGCAAGTTATCATACGCCCACTGGCAGCTGTCAGAAATAATAAAACAGTCTTTAGTGACTGAAGTACGAATTTTCTCATATTGAAGAAATTATTTATGCTGAATAATTCCACAAAATTTTAAAAAATCAATATCAATAACCCAAATACAACAAACAATTAAATCACACAGCTCTTATCACGGGCAAAAAACAACTTTTGATGCGTGTCTACAAAGTCAAGGGCAATAACTCAAAACAAGTTCATCAAAAATATCTCAAGTTAGAACTTGTCCGAGATCTTATCAATTCCAATGATCACACCAAGTTTCATCAAAATCGGTTGAAAACTGTAGCGTCTATTGTGCTCACAAACAAATTTTGACACGTTTTTCATAAGTCAAGGACAATAACTTAATTCCATTGATCACACCAATTTTCATCAAAATCGGTTGAAAATTGTAGCTTCTATTGTGCTCACAAACAAATTTTGAAGCGTTTTACAAAGTCAAGGGCAATAACTCGGAAAGCGTTCATTGACAATGCCTTGATCACATATTCATGTGGGCGTATAAAAATCAATGATTAATAACAAATTGCAATTAAAAAACCCTTTACCCATTAAGTTAAAAAAAAAACATTACCCATTAAGTTAAAACATTACCCATTTAGTTAAAACATTACCCATTAAGTTAAAACATTACCCATTAAGTTAAAGAAAAAACATTACCTATTAAGTTAAAAAAAAAATGCTGGAGACAGAATTTCGAATAATATTTCCAATGACCCAAAACTGCACTGAAATAATGATTAGTCAGTTATGAAAATGCGACAAAATAGCAATGATTATAAGCCTAAATCTAATTAATTGGATCAAGTCTATATATATTTACCTAACTGACACTAATTGGCGATAGTTAGTCTAATTATGTGGCACAATCTGGATCTTAGAGTCAAAGTTTGTTCGGAACCCGTCTTGTTAAAAAAGCTTGGTGATTTGGAAAAAAATATCGTTATTTATTTACTGTAATTTGATTGTTTACCTTTAGCTTTCAAGAAATCGACAGTAGGAATTAATTTACATCCCTGTTCCCCAATAGTCACAATAGACCATGAATCATAATCACCATACATGTTGTCGACAGAGATGCCTAATGCACATGACACTTAAAATGATATTACATTCTTTTTGAAAATAATTGATATAGAGGGGCTTATCTGTGGCGTAGACTGGTACACTTCCTAGACAGTTGTTTTAGGCTGTAAATCAAGAGACACATGTTTCATGATGCTTTTTAGACGAGTATTATATTCTCAAGTTTATTTAAATTGAAATACCGCTTCTTAAACGTAAGACGTATTGTCTCAATTGGACCAACCAATCTTGACCCCATTCATCGGACATGATATATGATAGCCGAATTACCGCGTCCGAGGAACGGATAGAACCAGATTTGTCTAAATGAGGTCTCGTCAAGCATAATTCCCCAATGTAACTGGACCACAATCAATCCCAATTGAAATGATTTTTGCGAATACCACAGGCGATGGAAGAAACAAGCAGAAGCTGAAAAACTATGGTGGAGAATAAATAAAGATGATATTGTTCAAAATGCAGGCGTGACTGGTAGATCTACATTATCTTTACTTTCGAAAGTAATGCTTTTTTGTACTTTGTGGTACTCAATGTAGTTACCTAGTAACAATATATTGTAAAGTAGTGGTATATACACGCTAAATGTAATTGATGGTCTATTGATATTGTAAATAGTAATATTGAAATGAAATTACCATTTATAAAATGATGATCAGTTATGTTACTATTGTAAAATGTATATGATATTGTAATCAGTGGCGTTTCTAGGAAACATTAGGTGAAAAGGTCGAGCATTTGCCTTGGGGGCCACAGACCATTCTTTCACTATGTAAAATGATAACACATTTAAAAGCGCTCTTGTTGAAGGGGGGGGGGGGGGACAAAACTGGGCCAGCATCTTTTCTAAGGGGAAGGGTCATCCCTGTGCGGAATTAAGAGGGCATTATTAATGGTGGGGGTTCGGGAAAATGTTCTAATGTAGAAAGCCAGAGGATGCATCTGGCGCTGTCTTGAAAAATGTCGACCATTTTGTTTTCTTCACCTGGATAGCGACCTTTTCTGAAAGAGTAGGACATACAGAACCATGTGCTTGTATCACCAAGTGAAATATTGTTTCAGCTATCTGCTGCACTATATATTGAAATCTTGTACTAAAACATTCACGGATTAGGGAAATATTACTTTGTTCCAAATCACAGTTGAATTTTGTTGATTGGAATGTTTTTTGTGATACGTAAACATATTGTAATTGTATGACATTGTAATTAAATATAATTTTATATAGAATTCATGATATTGTTTAATCTATGTTGTATAATCATCATTCTTTTTATCACGATTCCTTTGCAATTATGAATCTCTGAATTATTCCTAAATTTGAAGTTATGAAATATATATAATTGACCGTTATTTGAGAATAAAAAATCTATTATTTAATTCTTGGTAATTATTGTAGGTTAGCCATGTAAATCCTCACGATACAGATGTAACATGGAACATGGCTTTATATAAGGTAAACGTCATCATATGTTTTTTTTATGAAATCGATTATTCTTAGACGTTAATATTAGACTTATTTATGTGATTTCATTGGGTAATATCACGATACGAAAACCAGCTTGGCTATACATACAAACAAAACAGCTTCTATGAAATGAATTATGCCTTCATATCAACAATGTCCATGTTTTTATTGCAGGGAAACCCTGTTAGAGTGCGCGAGTTACAATTATACGAAAATTCTGACCCTTCTTCTGCTAAACTGATCAAAGAATTTAGCAAGGTAAAATGCAATGACTGTGATTGTTATAGTTGGTAAATTTACTGCACACATTTGCAGACAGTTACGGATTGTAAACATTCTATAAAATAGAAAAGAATAGCTAAAGTTACTGATTAACTAAAAATAAATCCCGTTTCTGAGACTATACAGTCAATGTCAAAATGGTCAAACGGATGGCCAACCTGTTCTTTTGAAAATCACTATCGGATGCATTATTTACTAAATAAATGAAATGTTTCTTTCAATAGCTTCGAGATATGAACTGTTCCAACCTGAATAAAGTTATTGGGGCATGTATCGGTAATGGGCCGGATGCTCTCTTAATTACTGAGTTTTGTTCAAAGGGAACGTTACAGGTAAGCTAAACAGTTTATGACCTGAAATTATATAATATAAGTACATAAGCAATACAACCCAAAAATATAATATAATACTATACCAGTCAAATATAGTTTTCTCATGAATATCAATAAAGCCCCTAAGGCTGCGTCACACTTCCACGACAACCAGTGAAGGAAACGTTCATATTTGGATCTGATGGTATAAATATCGGGCCATTCGAGAGGACAACCTAAGCCATCGCATGGCCGCCGGTAGAGTTTTTCAGGCTCCGGCAGCTAATTCATATTTGATGGCAGAATCTTTGGTATGTCGACAAATTTCCGAAGGACGTTGTGAAGGTTCATTTTCCATTTGGCCCTTCGTAAGGCAATCGCGAGGGTATCATGTCAAATATCGTTACCAAATGGTTTTGATGTACCACACACAGTATAATGTCATCTCTTTCAGGATTTGTTGGGCAACTATTCTTTTTCATTAGATTCACAGTTTAAATTTTCTCTGGCTATCGACATTGCTCAGGTAAGACTAATATTTTGTGACCGATCTGAAACTAATTGTTGTACGAGGGACATATGAGCAAAGAAATGCGAAACTTAACCATTCTAAAAAATAATGTCGCCAGTACTTTGTGGTTTTCTTCATCAATGCTAGTGAAGAGGCTCCAGGCTCGTCACTGCGGTGCATAATCCATAGCCCATCGATTATTGATGATGTAAAATAGTAGTAGGCTATGGTTGGTAGTTCTTCTTAACTAAAGGATCAACATGCAACGTGAGCAAAATGTTCATATCTAGAAATTTACCGACTACGAGCAACTGCAATCATCTGTATGTTCGCTGATTCAGACGACTGCAAGATCCAACTTTAATTTTTGCAAAAAAGTAGAGCACGAGAAACTGAAGGTATCTGGTGACCACGGCGATAATTAAATGGTCTTGGTCAAGTAAATATAGCTTGTCTGATTCCCTGAGATATTACCAGTGGCTATCAGTCATTAATAATAGGTTGCTCCCCTGCCCGTCGTAAGTTGACCTCCACCCTTTTTAGATTCTGGATCCAACAATATTATATAAATAACAAAAATAAATATGACTTATTATTGGTTAGAAGAATCTCTATGGTCTTTTATCTGCAGGGAATGTTGTATCTGTGTGAGAGTTCCATTGGTTTCCATGGAAATTTAACTAGTTCAATCTGTTTGATTGATAACCGATTTTCAGTGAAAATAACTGATTATGGTACACCTAGTTTATTTAATAAAGTCAAAATAGATTATGAATCACAGGAGTATCAAAGAGGTTAGTATGGGTTTAGTCTTTGAAACAGTTTACAATCAAAATGGTCTGTAATCTCAACAAAATACCAACCAACATATATTCGTTTATATAAATCAAATCCTTCACAACCCAATACGATGCTTTCATATAGAGGTTATTGCCGACATGATAAGCGCAGGTATGGATATACAATGCTCAGATCCATTCAGTTTTTCAAGTTGAAAGCGAAGCGAAAATGCCACTAATGGCAATCAGTCATTAATATATAAAATGTTGTCGTTTCTGATCTCGCGAAAAGTCGACTGAAATTAGAATAAGTACAATATGAACATTATTTGTTTATTGAATTGAAATGTGGATTTACCTCCAAGTCTAAAGGTATACTAGTATGAATGATCAAAGTAGAACTATGGTCGTTAAATGATTTAATGTTTTTGATTAAGAATATTGATTCTCACTTCAGTATGATATTTGCATTTTATCCTTCCGCCATCCAACATACACCATCATCCAATGATACCAAATTTTATCATCGACGTCAGCACTGTAATAATCCTTTTGTTAGCATCGCCAACAACGCCCAAACCAGAATGAAGATTATCACCATATTATGGACCAAAACAAACCTTTGGTAGCGTGAAAAGAAACGCTTAAGTTTGGTATACTCCGCACGGATGATTAAAGTTATTAATTGAGTAGCATCACCAACATCACCACATTAAGGACATCATTGTATGGTCATTCAATATATCTTCTACTTTGATAAATATCGTTGTAATTTTATGCCTCACATTTTCATTGTCATTTCAGAATGTTTGTGGAAAGCCCCAGAGGTTTTAAGATCAATTGGTGCTAATGGCAGTAAAGAAGGCGATATTTATAGCTTTGGTATTATTTTATATGAAATTTTCACACGAGAACAACCATTTGCTGATGAAACAGCTGAGCTCGGAATTTCAGGTTAGTCAAAACATTAAATCAAAATAACATTGCAAATCTTTAAGACAATTTTTGTCATAAGTTACCATCCTGTACTAAACCTATAGGCTTAAAAGTTTTCATGGATGAGTCCATGTTTTTTTTGGTGATCAATATTATTAGAGGTTGATGGCTGTTGATGTTAAGGGGTGATGGAAACCCGGTTAATTATTGCAGCTTTCTTTGGCTGATAGTCTGTTAGTCTGTATTGGTACACTACGCTAGCCAGCTATTATATTGAATTTTGGAACACGTGTTCACTCTGTGTTGTGATTATTTTTATAGCTGTGATCAGCAAGATCAAGGAACACACACCACCGTATTGTAGACCTGAAATGAAAGACTGTAGCAAGCAATCAGAGTTAGAGTCTCTCATTAAACATTGTTGGAGTGAAGTTCCTTCAGCTCGTCCACATTTTTCTCAAGTAAAAAAGGTTTTGAAGGAACAAGCAGGGTGAGTAATGAAAGTTAAAAGTGGTATCACTGTATATATATATTTATAATAGATGATAAACAGCTGGTTTAAAAGAGAACCAGGCCTGATTTGTGCACGGACGACATATCAAGCAGGCTTTCAAAATTACCTCAGACCTTATTTACATCTGATATAAGCCTATGGATATGGAGATAAACTTGACATTTTTAAAAAGGTAACAATATTTAAGGGCGATAATACATTATATATTTTTTATTCAAACATTATTATTAGTAAATATGGTGAAGGCACCAATCTTCTCGATAATTTGTTAAGAAGGATGGAACAATATGCTAACAACCTGGAGAAATTGGTGGAAGAAAAAACAGAAGAACTCCTTGAAGAGAAAAAACGATCTGAACAGTTACTTTACCAAATTTTACCTAAGTGAGTTGTCTACTGTTTGATTCCGCATTGGAAATAATATTTCATTCTATGTTTCTGTGTTTTCTTATCCTAAAGCTAAAACTTAAAGCTAAATTTTGTTCAGAGATAAACTATCTTAATCCTAAATTAACATTAGGAGTAGAGATCACTTTGCATAACAATTTTATGGTACATGACAATCTATACTACTGTGAGTTTAATTGTACACAACATTTCAACAACTTACATTGTCATCATCAGGCACGATGACGATGAGAGTTAACCCTTAATTTTTTGAGATGTATGATATATATATATATTTTAATAAATTGTAGATCTGTAGCCGAAAGTTTAAAAATCGGTCAACCAGTAGAACCAGAAGCATTTGATAGTGTTACTATATATTTTAGTGATATTGTTGGTTTTACAGAAATTTCAGCTAAATCCTCGCCTCTTGAGGTAAATACAGGCAGTTGTCCTTCAAATTCATGATACACTTCTTCTCAAACGGTCTTAATTTAGCATCTTCAATCCATTAGAGTAAGATTATATTTGATCGAATTTCATTTGGAAATTTCTATTCCTTTAAAATAGTAATAAAAAAAACAAACAAACGTGTTAAATAAATAAATAACCTCTATTTTAGGTAGTAAATTTATTAAACGATCTCTATGTATGTTTTGATGGAATTATTGATAAATTGAACGTATATAAGGTAGGTAACCAGTCATAGATTGTTAAAAACTAATTAAAATTAGGGATTATCTTGATAAAATTTTTGAATCATCTTTAGTTATACGAATAAAATATTGTGACTCTTAGATGGGTTCCCTTATTTTCATTTTTGAAAATGCTAATAATTATATGAATAGAAAGTAGAGGTGTTCTAATGATTTGGAAAAATACCTTTTTGTCTCATATTTCCATAATTAATTCAGAAGAGAATTACCAGCAGAATTCCAACGAGTGGCCGATCAAGAAAGATCAAAAAGTCTTTTTTGTTTATCCAGACTGTACATACTTGGAAATTCATGATTGGTTTAAACTCTTAATTATATACAATAAGAACATAATGATATGATGAAATGTCATTGTCCCATCCGAACAACTAGACGCTTTTTCCATGTCAGCTCCTCGTAGCTGCATCACTGACAAGGGGAAACCGGGTTGAAAAATCCAAAGGTATTATCTCGACCTATGCCGGGATTGAACCCTGGACCTTCAGGTTAGCGAGCAAGCGTCTAACTCACTGAGCCACCGCGGCTCCCAATGATATGATGAAGAATACACGATGTTTCATTAGAGACACCAATTCATCAAATAGTTTGCTTTATTTGATATTAAAAATTAAGGGAACCCATCTTTAAGCTTATGATAATAAAGGAATATCAATTTTATGTTAACAGGTAGAAACTATTGGAGATGCCTATATGGTAGTGTCAGGGTTACCTATAAGATATCCACATCATGGTAAAGAAATAGCTACCATGTCGCTTGCAATCAGAAAAGCAATCAGTTCGTTTAAAATGCGACACTTACCCGACCACAGAATAGAAATCCGGATTGGTCTTCATACAGGTAAGGGCATCATTCGTCACTTTCACATTCATGGAATTAACGTGGGTGGTATAAACATCAGGTATATTTTGATTTGTTGATACTTTCTTCAACCAATGTGATACAACATAACCACAACTGTATCTAAAGTCCAATAAGCTACAGGAAATAAAAACAAGAAAACCGAACCACGTGAGTTTGACAAATCATGAACACCATAGTTCGTTTAGCTCTAAATGATATCTCTTATCTTAAAATAGGACCGACTGTAGCTGGAGTGGTTGGGGTAAAGATGCCAAGATATTGTCTATTTGGTGATACTGTAAACACAGCTTCAAGAATGGAGTCGAATGGGCAAGGTATACTTTTAATATTGCAATTGTAACAACCACCAACCATAGCCTACACTGATTTCCTGTTTTGGGTCAAATCTTTTTCTAACATGAAAATGAATATGAGAGCCATAGCATAATAAGTTATAATAACCAAATACGTCGAAATGATAGGTACAAATTCTAAGATGTCCGAAACGACTGATATTTTCTGTTTCCAGCAATGAAGATTCATATTAGTTCTGTGACAAAGTCTAAACTAGAAAGTTGTGAGTGTTTTGATTTGATCTCAAGAGGCGAAATTAATATCAAGGTATGTGTACATATATAATGTATGTATATGAGAACTTTTGAGGTTGAGATATAAAATTCGGCAACTCCTTTAAAGTGCGTGGATGATGAATTGATTTATTGATTTTGTGCATTCTAGCACATATTTCGGTATCTTAAATGTACAAAAATCATATTTTTGGATTTGTTATGAAAAATGGTGGTGATTGCTGGTGATTATGTGAATGTCGAGGAAGATTCCATGATTGTCGTGATCTGTAATAATGGTTGCCATACTTCTATTTCCAGGGTAAAGGTGTAATGGAAACGTATTGGTTGGAACAAGGGGACTGATGCACCAAGCTGTGTTTTTATACCCAGTCAAGTAACCTAATTTCGTGGATTTCCGGAAATGATTAATAATTTACATGAGCGACCTTGCGCGACCTCCGCATTAGTTTGTTTCGATAAACATGGGTTTTCTGTACAATGTCAGCTAATAGAATGAATCCAGTATTTTCAAGCAAGGTAAAATGTACTAGTGTAAACTTTGACAAATACAAAATGGCGGATTTCAGTTACTACCAAACGTCACCATTTTTTATCGGCCGAATTTCCTTATAATCCAAAGCAGTAATCGGAATTCCAAGTGTCGTCTGCTAGAATGTAGTCCAACGAATAAAGTCACATGATCAGCTAGCGGATTCCGTGTCAGCAGAAAATTTCTATGGAACACAAAGTGGATCATATTCTTATGTTGTTTCAGTGACTTTTAGCAATAAATCACGCTACGTATCTTATTTTGTCAGTCATTATTTTTTTTTAAATCGTGGTTCTTTGAAGGAATTGTCACTAGTTATAATGAATTGATATTAAAGATAAATACTAAGAGAAGTTAATTATACCACCCGGTATCCATACAACGTGTTTTTCTAGACTTATTTATAGATCGAACATAGTACACGAAAATAGGTGACGCATTCTGCCGCCGTTGTCGAGTTGGTTGCTCATAAAATATGGGTCAAAGTGAAGGATTCATTAAGAAAATCCAAATAAACCAATTTTAATTATTTTGTAGAAATATCTGAAGAAACATCTAAGACATACAAAAAAAATTTCGTTTTTTTAACTGACGAAATTCGGTGTTGAATCCTTATATCCACGAAAATAGGTTACACCACTGTAATAAGTCTACAGCAACATCAAAATTAACTCCGTATAATTAATCAACCGTATAAATCATTGACTAATATTGTCTATCAAACTTAACTATTATCCTTCTATTTAATGGAGCTACATTACGTAAACCATACAAGATTAGGTATCAGTACAGTCATCATGTCCTATGTTCAATTTTCAAGTAACAGGATTTATGCTCAGAAAATGCTATACAAAATCAATTTGTTTCCGTGTGAAATTAACATTTTTTCATCAACATTATTTCAGTGAAACTTTTCTTTCTCCTTGATCTTAAATTATCGGATCAAATAATCAATCAATCAAAACTAAAGGATGACAATCAAAGAAAAAAAAACAAAGTATGATGTTTGAAATTATAACTTGTTTGTTATAAATCTGTTTTCTCATTAAAGTCACTTTCACCCCTAACCATTTGTGTTTCTGCTCTTTCTAGAACCAACCCCTAGTTGAAATTCGTTAACTTGCAGTCGATTTCCTCAGTCTTATCTGCCCAGATTCGTATGTTCCGTAAATTAGCCTATATTTATGACACAATCCATCTACCACGCCCTCGTGCCTCAATAATTAATGACTGGCAGTATCTGGTTGGTTGGTAGATGACAAGTTAACTTCCAGCGAATGCTGATACCGCAAACTATTGGCAGTATCTGGGAGCCAGTGGGTTTTATACGATAGCTAATATTGTATTTGGTTACATGTGCAAGTGTTTTATCAATTGCTCGATTTAATCGAGTAGGCCTAAATCGTAGTCCGCCATAAGTTGCTTGATCCTATTTTCTAGAAAAATCTTATCTCGAAATGGATGTAGCGATGTCGGAATCAGAAAAATTGGTAGATTGAAGTTGAAGATTTCTCGATATTCAATCATTTCGTTCATTTTGTCTGCGACGGATCCGTTTAGATTCTTTGAATTCCACTAAAACTAGGTGTTTGATGACGTCACAATCGTGAATGGCCTTAATTATATGATAATTATTTTTCGATTAATGACGTCATCAAACATTTCTAATTTGTGGAAAATTGGAATGGTGCAAATAGACGCTATTATTGTTTCTGATAGCCCTATACATGAAACATTTATAAAACCTCTTTACAATCCCGTTAATATACATGTATAGGCCTTCTTTAATATAAAGACATTGCTGGATATTCTACAATGTCCCTGTAACCCACACGGTATCAAAATAAAGTCAAGGGGTAGGCTTTGATAAAAAAAAAATGAAAAAACATCAGTCAACTCGTCCACATACTCGTCGACAAAACTGATTAGCAGTCAAAACTTAGCCCAGGCCTACCCCTCTGTTAGGTAGTAGGCTATCATTTGGGGCACAGTGCACTGTAGAATATCCGACAATGTCTTGATGGGCTTATTAATGGTTCAGATTTGTAAAGATTCCATCAGAAATTTGATTTTAATTTGGTGAAAATGACGTTCATCACGTCCACTGAACGGGTAGGTCCAGATTAGTCGGGCTTATTCTGACAAATTCTCTCATACAGAGTTGTCGTTCCTTGCAAGGAACGGCAACTCTGTATGAGGTATTGATTCTGACATGCTTTTGTTGTCATCTGTTACAAGAAGTCCATTTATAAATAAGTAGAAAAAGTTCTTTAGAATTTCGGGGCGCTGAACACGAAAAACTGTGTACCAGTTTGAAGTCGGATAGTTACTGACACCACAAACCAGTCTAGAAACTGGCACGAATCGAACGCAACATTTTCAACCGGAAGTTTCGCATTGTTTCAAAATAGACACGCTGTCATTGTTGTTTTCATTTCATTTTTGAGACTTTTACTGATTCAAATGTTAATTTTATGAAAATGCAACTAACTATAACGACTGTCACTGACCAGATATTTACTTTAGATGTTTCTGAAGATTTGGAATATGAAAATTTCAAAGCTTTATGTGAATTTGAAACAGGGATTCCTTCCTCTGAAATCGTGATTCTGTGGAATGGAAGACCTCTTCAAGACAACACAAAAACATTACAGCAGTATGGAATTAAACATGGTGACATGCTATTTCTTCAACAAATTAGACCAGGGACTTTGCCCACTCCTGGTAGAGCTCCAACAGGTAGACTTTTCTTTTGTCAATTCTAATTATAATTAATATTACTCTTAGTACGTTGTAAAGCACCTCTGCCCAAGTACTAGTGAGTGACTTGATAGTGGAATGTTTAGGGAGAAATTAAAAAGAATGATCAGTATTAGTTTCTTTGAAACTTACCTTTAATTTTTGCAGATTTTCCTCAATCCTATGAGGAAGCAGATCACTTATGCTTACATACTACTGGAACATTTCATTTTTTCCATACCATTCCAAGTTGAAATAGCATAGGCTATTTGTGTCATGAAAAAAAGGTATACTTGTTGGCAGAAAAATTTAGATGACCTAGAGTAGTCACATTAGTATTGTGTATGCTGACTTTTCCTTTTTCAGGTGGTTTTCCTAATATAGATTTTGGTAGCATACAGATTCCAGGTGGTCCTCCAGTTACACAAAATCCTCCAACATCATCTTCAGGTGGAGCAACTGCTGCTTCTGGTCCTATTTCTCAATCAGATCCTAGACTAGAAGATCCGGAGTTTGTACGTCAGATGCTTCTTTCTAATCCTCACCAAGTCTCCTTGATCAAAGAAAGGAATCCTCCTTTAGCAGAAGCCATAAATGATTCAGGTAATCATAGAAATACAATGGAATCTTTGATCATTAACACAATAACTATTATTGATGATGGTGCTAAAATTTCTATTGTAAGTCTTTTTATTGTAATTTTTCAAACCATCTAATGATATGCAGGATAGGAAAAAATACTATTTATGATGCAGACACGTTAAATGCATGAAAATAAGTGCTCTACACTGTAGGTACGGTAATCATAATTCTTATATTTGTCATTGTAGCAAAATTTGCCGCAGTTTTTCAAAAGCAACAAAAGGAAAGAAAAGATAAAGAAGAAGGAAGAATTAGATTGTTACAATCTAATCCTTTTGATCCAGAAGCACAAAGACTTATTGCTGAAGAAATAAGGTGGGTTTATATAGGGATATTATGATTTATAAGAGAATGTAATCAACTGTACAGTTTTGTTTAGTGTTCAGTGATCTTATGATATTATAACATTGAGATTTCACTAACTTCAAAATGATGCAATATTTCCACCATGGACTCATAACATTGCCTTTCTTTACTTGTACATGTTATTTTTGTTGTAGGTTAAAAAATGTTGAGAGTAATATGGAGACAGCTATGGAGTTTGCACCAGAAAGTTTTGGTCAAGTTGTCATGTTGTATATTGATTGTCATGTCAATGGACACCCTGTTAAAGCTTTTGTTGATTCAGGTTTGACTCAATTGTTTTTTCTTTCCTTGCACTATGTTTTAGAGATTTCACTTATGGACATTGTCTTTGTCACTCCCCATTACACTTGGCATAAATTACATGATTAAATAAATGATGGAAAATATAAACAAGCTATGAAATGTTTTGAATTCATAAATATGTCTTTGATTTTATTATGTGTTTATAACTCAACAATTGTGAGTCTTTTGCATGGTTTGAATACATTGGTGTCAATTTAAACAACAGTTCAGCTATAATGTAAATCTTGAAGGGCATAACAACATTATTGGTAATCCATAATACCATATGATAGTGATAAATTTCCTATTGCTCTCTTTAGGAGCCCAGATGACTATTATGAGTCAACAATGTGCTGAAAGATGTAATATAATGAGATTAGTAGATAGAAGATGGGCAGGTATTGCTAAAGGTGTTGGTACACAACGAATTATAGGCAGAGTACATCTATGTAAGTAAATTTTACTATTAGAGATGACTGTAAAGAACTACATAGTGTTTATGTCGATTTCTTTTCAGTCAGAAACTGCCGGTCATGTAAGCACCACCGATTTCAGTCAGCTTATATTTGTCACTTTGTAATCATCACAAAACCCCAGTTAAGTTAACCTACTGTTAGTCTGTAATCAGTAGAAAAAGAGTTAATAGGTCTATTTATAGATACAGATGAAAAGATGCATTACTGAAAGCTCTTCGAGCTTTTCTCAAACCCTTTGAATCACTCAACCAAGTTATCAGAGATGAAAATAATTCATTAGAAATTATACCTATTTTATATGTTTATATACAATATTTTATTGTTAAAATACAAACGAAACTAGATATGGTTCTTACATGGAAATAACACACACGAACACAGGTCATAGTCACTTTTCACTAAATATCAAGGGTCTATGTGAAATTCATATAGATTGATTAGTAACATCATATTTTATGATTTAAAGGTCAAATTAATATTGGTCCAGATTACCTCCAATCAGCATTCTCTATATTAGAAGATCAACCAATGGACATGTTATTAGGTTTAGATATGTTACGTAGACATCAGGTAATCTTACACAACAAATCAAAGATTTTCAAAAGTGTATATATATATTTATCTTATTTCCTGTAAGAGAAGTCATGGCATTGCCTCTTGTATGATAAAGGTTAAAATTCATGGATATATGTAAAAATATTTATTTTGGAAAAGTGCCTCAAAGTGCACTGACTTTAATTCCAGTTGTCTTCATTTCATTTTATCAAAATTATTACAGTGGAGTTGTTCCCCTTAGATTATGATTAATTGTTTTACAGTGTATAATAGATTTAGCTAAGAATGAATTAAAGATTGGTACAACAGGTACAATAACAAGATTTTTATCAGAAAGTGAATTACCAGAACATGCTAGATTAAATTTATCAGATAGTAAGACCAATGTTGATGAAGATGGACAACTAGCTCAAGCCTTAGCTAAATCAGCAGAAGAGGCAGGTAAGAAGACAATTATCACTTTTTATAGTTAAGCCAAGCAGCGGTCATTCAAGATAAACTGTAGTTTGTCACATTTAATTATTAATTTATTGCTTCATAAAAGCATAATTAAGATCAGTGTTCAAAATATGTTCAGGTGGATATTTTTATCTGTAAAACTGGAAGCATATAGATGATAAGTCTGGCCTCACCGTTCCTGGGACGTGGTATACAGATGGTATTTCAGTACATTTAGGTATTTTAGGTTGTAACATTGCGGTTAAGCAATGTTACGAAAGCACAGACACAGGCATGTAGGTGTAACCTCTAGTGATAGAGCAATGTTTGTGAAGTTAGTTTAAAAGAATGATATAGAATATTTGAAATGCAAATCCATTATCTTTCTGAATCTGAAATATATAAGAAGAATACTGGTTCCAACAGGAACATTAATAACCATGGAAATCATAATAAACATTTTCACTGGTGAAACTGAGGAATTGTCCTACATTAAATGAAAAGGAAAATGCGTATTTCATATAAAAAATACATATAATTTATTATGTTATAAAATAGTATACATGTATGATATTTTTGCGAGGAAAATATTCAATTGTAAGTTATCATGAATAAGAAATATTAATTAAAGGTGAGACGTGTGCTGATATTCATCTGTCTATTATATCCTAGGAACAGGTAGGATCAGAAATCCCAGAATTGTCAGGCTAGTAGGCATGGTGGCATTTGGTGATCCAAAAGATTATCATGTCTATTCCAACTTTTATATATTACAGCAAATAATAAACCTTCTACATCTAAACCCCCAGCAACAACATCAGCATCACCTCAGTCTTTGATGTCATTCCCTGAAGAAAAAGTCACTCAACTTATGTCCTATAATTTCTCGCGAGATGCAGTTCTGGAGGAGTTAAGAAGAAATAATGGAGATGCTAATAAAGCACTAGCAGCCTTGATAGCCAAATCTATAACAGTGCCAAAATAACACAAATATATTTTACTTTATACATGTTTGGTTTTACTTTTTGAAGTTATTGAGGATCTCAAAGATTCACTTTTGTTTCATTGAAATTCAAATGCATTTAATGAAATATTTTACATGTATAACAATATTTTTTTAATGTGGGAAGATAATTTTTGTCTGAAGATTAAATGTTCTCTTGAAATTATAGATATTTCTTTGGTCTGTTAATAACTCATTCCATTTCATGACAATTCAACAGATAAATCTGAAAAAAAATATATCACATGGTCTTGCATTTTTTTATTTTATTAAAAATTTATGAGATCTTGAACAATGAATACATTGAATGTGTTAGCAGTACAATGTTATTGCCTTTGATCAAACTATTGGAGTAAAAAAACTTATTGTTGTCACTGTAATATACGAGCTATGGCCCTGCTTTGGCCCCTACACTTCTTAATTTTCTGATTTTTACATAGTGAAACAATGGTCTGACCACTGTTTTGTAATTGCTGGTAAAATGTTTGTTATGTTGTTTGAATGGAGAATTGTATCATAAAATAAAGGACGTATTTTTCTACATCATGTTTTTATTATACAGCATAATACAGCAAGTCCCGACAGGCGACATGATCCCAAACGGCAAATTTCATAAAATTGTTGGTTTAGATTCTGCCTTCTTTGGCAATCCTTGCATGGACAACAAACCCTTCAGTGACCCATATGCTTGTGTTGACAAATGATGACAAAATGATTATGTAAGTAACCCTAGGACATATTGAAATATGATAGGATTCAACACACCCAATTAATTGCAGTAAATATAAGTTCTTTACAGCAAATCACACTTAAATACGAAATTCAAACAAAGCAGATATTACATAAGATGCAAGTATGTATTATCATAGAGCCACTTCCCTACAGCTTATGGAAATGCATTGATTCGAAGCTTACCCACATAAAACTAAAAGCGTTCTAAAGAAGATTGTGAAGAGGGTTTCTAAATTTTGTATGTATATCGGGGACACTGATAGCATCAATTTGCAATTTTCGATCAGACGTCTGTGGGTGGTTCCTACAATTCCACTAAATCCATGTGTTTGATGGCATCATTAATCGCGAAGGACCTTATGTGATAAAGCATATTCTTCGACTAGTGTCGTCACCAAACACATAGTTTAAGTTGAATTGCAGAAACCACAGACGTCTGATTGAAAACTGGAATGGCGCAACTTTATGTCATCAGTGTCCCCGATATACATAAAAGATAATGAAAACCCTCTTACAATCTCTTTCTTTAAAGTTGAGACTAACAATGAAATATATATAGGCCTATGTAGGATAGTCAGAAACAACCACAAAAAATATTATACATAGCTGTGGATCAGATTATTATAATCAAATAACACAAGATCCAAATCTGCCCGATTTTCAAATTGTTTCACCACTGGCCACATTGAAAATTTACAAAGGATATATTGGTCCACATTGCCACTTATAGCCAACAATCGCTGTCTCTGTTCACTGTACAAACAACCAGATAATTGTACTTACGAGTGCAATTTTTCGAGTGCAATTAGTCTGAACTAATTTGATTGTAGGCTTGGTACAACCCCAGGTTCAGTGCATATATAGACGAGGCGATGAATATGAGTTAGCCACTAGACAATAAATGAGAAACAAGTTTTATAAATCGTTCACGTTTAATCCAGCAAGCTGAAGAACATTCCAGGCGATCTCCTCTGGTAATTCACTTAAATATTTAACTCTGTCCAGATCTAGATTCTCATTGTCCACCCAATGTACAGATAACGTATCTTTCCGCCAATCAAAGACACCACCGGGCTTATTTTCATTTAATTCAGATCTATACTCAGCAAACCATGTTGGATGACAGTTATGATTTAGACATTTGACCTGAAGCCCTCGATCTAGAAAGGCGCTGGTTGGGTCTTCCTCTATGACATGATACGCAGCTAAATGTGTTATGTACCATTTTGTCTTGCCTGATGAATCATAAAGGTCTTTAAGTTTGGTAAAGTAACGAGACTGTCGTTTTCCCATGATTATACCCGGGTTTAAAGATTCGGGCCAAATACCATACAAAAACCAATCCGGTGAAACAACAGCATCATACCCAAAATAATAATCTGGTATTTGATTCGTCCAGAACACAGAATTATCGATGTAAATTCCACCATATTCCAAAAGTATATCTAATGGATTGAGGACCAAATCTCCAGAAGAATGAAGTTCCACCACTGCCACTTGAGAAAATGATTGCAGTAAATTCCACCATCTACCACTTGGCACTTCATTAACATGAATATACACACGATTCAATTTAGCAACAAAAATTGAACTTAACACACTTATGAATGAGGAGAAATTAAACGGATGATATGAATCACAAATATAATGAGCTATTTTGGGGAATGGATTGTTGAGATCGTATAGTGGATGCAAGCTGAGCTTATCATAAGCAATATATCTTGATATCATTGAAAATTTGGAATTCGAGTACCAGATATTTTTGGGAAACAACAACATATTTACATTAATACACATAGTTTTCACATTTTTTGTCTTTTCAAATTCTTTGTCGTCAACACAATTTGACATTTTTATTTGATTGGCATATTCCTTGGCTAAAAGAAGTTCTAGTTCCTGTGAATTTCCAGGGACCTCAAAATCGTTTGTATTTATGGACAGAAGTCCATCCTGATATTCCTCGGAACCCAGACTAAGAACGTTACCCGTGAACTGATATTTATGAAGTCCTTGAGGGAAATTCGCCATCAGGACGTTGTCAGGTATATATACACCTCCATGTTCGGCAAGGATCTGTAGAATTAGAATAAAGCGGTCCGGACCTTTTATTGGACACGATGACCTATCAAGTTTGTTTAAAATGACATTGGGTATCTTTTGCAAGGTGTCATTAAACCACGTAAAATATTCTTCTTTATCAACTATTGGTAAACTTACATAATGAAATAATATTTTATGTGGTCTGATCACCTTAAAAGCACTCTTGATAGCGAGATAATTCTTAAATTCAAATGCACGTTGTCCGCACCACAGATAATGAACTAGTAAAGGTTTCTGTAACGCTCGTATATCTGATTGGACTGGCAACTCCAGTCTTTCCTCTGAACTCAGTGATCGTTTAGATATCACATCTTTTCTTTCAGTTCTATCTACGGGTGTGAGGCTAAAATTGGTACGGGAATGAAATATAGTAAAGTATGTCATATATATAAAGACTAAAAAGAATGACGCAAGACTCAACCATAGGAGATGATTTCGACGATGAAATCTGCAACAACGCACCATACTATTCTTATACCGTCCACATGGTAGAGAACCTGAAAAGTCAATACTATATTTATTGAGAAAAATATGTTTCTAATACATGAAATGGTGTTTGATTAAAGGAATCAAAAGATTTGGTAATTTGGAAATAAAATTATGCCGATAATGCCACACATGTTCGGATGCTCCAGGTCAAGGTTTAATCGAATAACACCATGACAAAAATCCTAGGGATAAGTAAAATTTCATGCTATTGCAAAGCTAAAATGTATAAGGCGAGGTAAAGATACGATATCATTTAAGTGTATTGAATAACAGGGTGAAAATCGCTGCTAGCACATATATTTCAAATATAATAATATATACAAGACAGTTTTCAAAAAGAAAATTGAATAAAAACTTATTTTTGAATTTGTACCCTACATCCATCACTATTTCGTGTAGAATTTGGATTTGTTTGCAAAAATATGATTGTTGTTCCTATCAATAGTCTATCAATTGTTGACTGTTTATTCTAAATTATTTTCTTTATTTATTTAACATAATGAATTGTCCGCATTTGATATACATCAGAGTAATTCGACGCTGCATTAATTCGAACACAGTCTCCGTTGGCACGCATTTCATTTTGTGAGTTATCCAACAACTGACAAAAACACCGTCTGGAATAGCTAAAAAAGGCCACGGCGTTCTGGATTGTTTGACTTTCTATTCAACTATTGTGAAATTATAAAAAAAAAGTGTTTTATCAGCTAGTTAAATCAGTGTTTTCGATCACAATACGTGCCGGACATTCACTAACGTTTTCCTTTCTATTTTACTCCTATGAAAAGTGTTGAATTGAACCCATCGTTCTTGTCGCCGTACTGTGGACCAAGCGGTTCACACCGTGTCCACTTTATTATTGTAAGACTCTCGCCAGTTAAACATGGTCGCAGTGAAAGTTTTCAAATAAACTTTACACTTCACACTTATACACCCATCTCTTTTTAAAAAGCTTAAAACCCAGTAAGAAGTAATACATTAGTATGGGACACAGGCTGAAATAGTTCAGTGTCTGGAGGTCAGTGAGTAGGCCTAACAACATGTTTTAGATTCTGTTTTAATATTTCTAAAACCCAGTAATGACTATTGGTAATTTACAAAGTGGCACGAATCTATACCAATTCTTCAAACAAAATATTTTCAATGGTGACAACATGCTTATTCAGTATATAAATCTCTATGAGTAGTTAAAAGATCTTAAACGATCCAAAGCATCTCATTGTAAACGTCGACATAACGAAGAGCGTTATCTGGAGAAATTGGCAGATTACTAGCATTTACTATGTGACCAGCAAGTTTCAATTATTGTCAAAAAGCAGAACATTAGCAACTGGGTTTCACAATTTTCTTTCATTAACTATGACAGCGGTCAAAAACTGCGAGATTTATGGTCAACCTCATCGCCCCCTTCCCACATTTCCTTCTAAAATATTAGACAATGACCCAAACATGTAGACAAGTTTTTCGGTGAAATATACATGATCAGATAATAAAATTACTATCCGTTTTAGAGAAAAGCAACAAATTCCACACATGTTTTCCATGATAAGCAGTTTTGATGGACTACAAAACAATCGAAACATAGCAAACAGAATCTGCATGCATCCTAAAAAATCTCTCTTAGAGTACGTTTAAAAAAAATCGAAGCCAATAAAAAATTATCAAAAAATGCTTGAATTACATTCACAGCAAAAAAAAATTTTGCTTACCCCACTTAGTAGCTGAATTTAAAATTCTTTTACCGAAATTTGTGGTGTTGTGGACAGGTTTGCTTGTATCAGGTTGAGTTATTGTAGCTACTTGGACGTCTACACCTGGGAAAAGACTCATGTTATACGATACAATTCAAACGGGTGTTGACGTATATTCAATGTAGTTTAATAACAACCCAATCATCCGTCATACACTTTTCTTTTATACTCATTCTTAGTGGGTGTGGATCAAAATGAATTCGATGGATTGGTTCATTTTATAAGGGATTACATCTGAACAGAGGTGCTAATTTAGCGTGAAATGTTTTAACAAAGGCGATTGATTTTACTTTTATTGGCATAGATTTTTCTGTAGTCTACTAGAAACTAAAACTAAATATTATGACGTCATAAAGTTATCACCGGTAAATGATTGAATACGTGTAATTGATAATTAAATGAAGAGAAAGAAGGGCAGTATGAATGAAAAACATCGCAGCAACGACGATTGAGTTTCAGACTCAATATTTTTAATTACATAACACTTACTTATAATTTCCCGGTTATTTATTGAATTGCACGAGATTGTATTTGTATTAAAAATTGTATTAATTTAGTCAAAACTTTCAATAGTAAAACGACAGCGACACGTATGGGAAACGACATTCTTGCAAAGTACAATACACTCCTATTGGCAGCTTCATTTCAATTCAATCGAGTTTTAAAGAACGGGGAAATCATCAACAACTCAACCTTTTAGGGTTTCATCTTGATACCAGGGCATCGATATATAGTAACGACGTAACCAAATAATCCGAAGAAAACCATGGACCATGATTACAGGCTACTACTTCAAGTATAAAACACGAAAATATAATAAGTTTCATAACGGAGACGTACATAAACAGAACGAGGTTGTGTGTGAATGGTCAACTGATAAATAATTAGCTGAATAGTGGTGGGTTGGTGGTAACTGTAAACTGTAACGCTCCCGACCCCAATGCGTTGTCGAATCACAAACTATAAATTTAATGTGTCTTTATCTGACGTTTTTGTTGTTGTTTTCATGTTTGCGAGGATTGATTAACATAAAGGGCTGGTGTACTGATTTTAATTTTCTTTTCAACATTTTACACAATCAATTTGACATTTTATTTCTTTTAATTAATTTTCCAATACTAACTTACTTCGCGTATTTGTTACCAAACTATTTACATATAACCAAGCAGTATAATGTTACATCAAATAAAAAAACATGATACTTTCAGTCCAATCCATTTAAATAAATATTGCACTAACAAAATGCTTCAATAGAGAAACACATTAAATATTATATACATTCAACTAAATCAGTACAAATATCAATTTCAATGTACACCAGGCGAAAATTTTAGTTTTCTTTTGAGTTATTTACCCAATTAAATCTGTATTAGTTAAAGGATATAAAATCATATACCTGTAACTAACGATAACGCCATGTGAAATAAGCCCATATGGTAGCAAACTTCAAATGAAAAGTTGTAGATATTTCAAATGAAAGGTTGCAGAGACGCAAACTAAGATTAGCATAAATAGGGCATGCTACCATTCATAAGATAGCCAAGAAGGTTCGATGCCATGTAAGGGGTGGTTATTTTCATTGCCAACTTGGAGATTACCATTATCAAAATGTTGTTTAACCATCCACGATACAATCAAAGACTCTATCATCCACGATACAATCAAATACGATACCATCCACGATACAATCAAAGACTCTATCATCCACGATACAATCAAATACGATACCATCCACGATACAATCAAAGACTTTACCATCCACGATACAATCAAAGACTCTATCATCCACGATGCAATCAAAGACGTTAAATCCACGATACAATCAAAGACGTTACCATCCACGATACAATCAAAGACGATACCGTCCACGATACAATCAAAGACGTTTCCATCCACGATACAATCAAAGACGATACCGTCCACGATACAATAAAAGACGTTTAAATCCACGATACAATCAAAGACGTTTCCATCCACGATACAATCAAAGACGTTTCCATCCACGATACTATCAGAGACTATACCATCCATGATACAATCAAAGGATTACCATCCACGATACGATCAGAAACGTTACCATCCACGATACCATCATTACCATCCACGATACCACCAGAGGTTACCATCCACGTTACAATCAAAGACGTACAAATCCACGACACCATCAGAAACTATACCATTCACGATACCAAGAAAGTTGTTACCATCCACGGTACCCTTCCTTTTGGTTTTTTTGCATGCCTACTTTTGACAAATGTTTTGTCTAGATTTGGAATTTGATGTCTGAAATTGCATTTTCTTTCAGATTTTTATGCGGAAGGATAATTCTAAAAATAGTCGTTTCGTGTGCCGTTACAGTCAAGCGGATGTTGATAAAATGTACTGGTCTACTTTCAGTTTGGCTAGTTCAAGACTTGCATGGTCATGATTTATTGAATTTTTGTCCAGAAACTAAGCATTGACCAGGCTTTTATGTGACATAATGGAAAGTTTTCAACGAGATTTGACTCTTTCTATATTATTTCCTTATTGAATCAATGAGTGTGAATAATTTATTTGTTAAAACTATCTTGGAAACATCTAAGAAGCAGTGGTATTACTGTTGGCTGTCTGCTAAGCAACCATGAGGACCGGGGTTCGATAGATGGACAAAGTATCTTCGGATATTTCTTCGAATGTACTCCATTCAGGGATAGAATAGAAGGAACAAATTGTTACGCTGGTCCAACAAAAAAAATGAAATATTATTGGACAGTGGAAATCTAAAACAAGAAAACAGATTGACACAACTGATCTGACGAACACTCCCTATGGCTGCCCTGCTGTTGCAAGGTTTCATTATACCGGATAAAAAGCTTCAGTTAATATTGACGTAAAAAAGCGAGGAGAACCCGGACTTCGTACAAAGTTCTAATGAGATTTTTTGAAATATTAGAAATTTTCAACACATCAAATTGAAAAGATTTGAAAAATATTATCATGATAAATACAAAATATTGCAAATGACACGTTTAGGTTTAAATTGTGAAAAAATATCATATTTCAAATGATTTCAAGGAGTGTATTTGTCCCTCACTTTCAACAGTAAGGTGTATGTATACACAATTATAGTTTGAAGATTAGGATGATCTTGTTGACTGGCACATGTCATAAATGCAATTACATACTGTTGCTAAAACTGCTTTATGTTCATTGAAGGGATGGGGCTCTTCAATTTCTTACAAAATATTTTTGTGATATCTGTAGAAAATTGGGTTAATGTCAAACATACGAACATTGTCTAACAACCAACACGGCTTTGACAAATTGCTGAAAGTGTAATCTATATGTTCCTCTTTATACCTTAGGAGGACGGACCGACCAGTCTTCATATATTATATAAGGACTGAGTTGTATGGTACATGATTCGCTTATTTCAGGAAATGTTTTGAGATTTAAAGATTGCAAACAGTTTTACTCTGAAAGTAGCAACCCTTTAACTTAACATAAATACATGTGGAGAATAATCAGAAGATTTAATACACAGTATCTAATGTCTTTATAATTAGTTCATTTTGAGAACTTGAGACAATATCTATATACATATTATCATTAGCAAACACTATATAGTACCAGATGAAACGTAACTTGAAAAATTCATTGCCTTTGTGTATGGTAATAGAGAAAGTTGACGTTCGTTGGTACGGCTTGTCAGTGATATCTCTGAGTTTGTAAGGGAAAATACAATTATAGATACATCATAGAATACAAAACGCAGTAGTGTCACACATGACAAAATCCATACATTTTCGTATCGAACAAGGTTGACATGTTTGAAGAATTCGATCTTCATTCAACATTTTATCGGTTTTCCAGCGTTTTTTTCATTATCGGGCATAACTCGAAAGAGGGGCTATAAAATATTTTTTCTACATATTTTTTTTGGACTGCCACATGAGTAGTCTAAGACCATATAACCGTGAACTTTTTTTTGACCCTACGAATATCTAACCTTATGATTTTAAATCATATTAAGCGGAGAGGAAAGAGGCTGTCACATTTTAATAAAAGCTTGTTTTTTTTTCAAAAGAAATTATTGACGTTATAAGAAGATTGGAGATAAATATTATTTAACATGCGTTTGGGTAACCGAATAACACTTCTTAAGTAACAACCTTTCCTAGTAATAACACTTCATAGGCAACAAAATCTTTAAAAAAACAACGCAACAACTTGATATTCAACGTAAATAAATGAACAAAAGGGGTCAAAAAAATCAATTTTAAAAAAATAAACTTGAACGTGCGCAGTTAAAAATATGCCCAGTTTGACTTTGACTGGCAGAATCTGAGACCAACTGGGCGTTTCGCTCATGGCAGCTCTCGTTTTTGAGCCCACTTTATGCATTCACACCTGATATAACTCGTTTTTAAACAACAGAACAAAAACTGTTGGCCTATCATCTTCAGTTTTATCAATTTATACAAAATTTTCTTTTTATCAAGTTTTATGATTGTGTCTGAGGTGGACTATTTATATGACTTAAACCTTTTGAGGCTCAAATTAAAACGATCTTGAGAAAGGAATATTGGTCTAAAACCAAAGTTTACTTGAGGATTTGATTCCTTTTCTGATAAATCAGGTTATATTCATGTAAAAGACGCATCATTTGTAATTGTATTAGGCTTTCCTCAGACGTATCAATTGATTTTGGACAAAAGAGTTTTAGACTACATTTAAGATTATCTCCCATTAGTTATGTAAACTAAGGTATGTTAGGTATGTAGAGTTTTATTGAGTAGGCTTCCACACTCTCAACCTGTTATGGCTTTGTAGTCGACCAAATCCGTTTACTTGCTTTTTAAGCGTGATAATGCGTATGCGACATCCGCTGAAAGCTTGTATTACTATTACTGTCACAATCATAGTGTATTGGACTTCAACAATAGCACTTGAAGGGAGATAACTCCAGTATATTACTTTACCGTTTTAACGTTAAAACTTCGAGTTCCTAATTATATTATATAGTAATTAAGACATTGGGTAAAGTTTCCGAGCGTCAGACTTTGGAAATAAGAGCAAATAACAAAATCTCCGACGCGAAAAATACTTTATCATGTCATGGACAATAAATCCAGGATAGTTCTCCAATGGCGGAGCCATGGTCGTCCGAGAGGGTGGGGGGAGGGGGATTTCTGCCCGAAAAACTTCCTTTCGTGCTCTCTGTCGGACACTTGAATTGTTAGTCTTTCATCACACAAGGACGCACGTTATCGAAATATAGAAATATCAGAAAGCATGCTATAGCAATTAATGGCCCGAGTTCTTCAAACTGTAGGCCCTATTCCCCTTTCTGTATAACTTTTATGATGCCACGATACTGTTTTCAAATAAATGTCAGGATCTAGAGCATAGCATCCAGATACGGGGTTTGACATGGTCTTATTAAACTTGGAGGAAATATGACGAATGGGGTGTGGTTTAGACTCGATGGGTCTAGAGTAACTCGGGTCTTCTTTCTATAAGGCAATGTAGTCAGTTAAAGATGGGTTTCCTTATTTTTCAATGTCAAATTAAGCAAACTGTTTGATTAATTGGTGTTTCTAATGAATCATCATTACGTTCTTATTGCAAATAATTAAGAGTTAAGAGTTTTAACCAATCATAAATGTCCATGTATGTAGTCTGGATAAATTAAAAAGACCTTTCTTGATCGGTCACTCATTGGAATTCTGCTGGTAATTCTCTTCTAATTTATAAATTAATTATGGTCATGTGAGACAAACTGGTATTTTCCAAGTCATTAGAACACCTCTACTTTCATTTAGCATTTTCATTTTCATAAGTAAAAATAAGGAACCCATCTATAAGTCTTTTATTGCAACGCTTTCGGTACACTTCCAACAGTAACCATTTTTACTGTAGACATCAAATAAACGATATTTCTTTTTTGTCAAAATTGCCATGAGGCATTTGCCTTGATGTAGGCTAGTTTACGGTCCTGAATGTACGACTCCATTCCATTATGTTTGCCGTTTTACCAAATGTCGTACTGAGTGGGCGTTTGATAACATAGCAATCGAAATGTAAAGGAAGATAAGGAAGCTACAAGATATTGCTTCCCAAAATCGACGCGGTAATTGAGACTTTTGCCTCAATATAATAGTTAATGATCAGGAAAAAATTCCGAACAAATGAAATGCCTTTAGGGGACAGTAGACCGAAAAGCCCCCAAGTCGGTCCGTCATTCTTTCAATCGCACCTCTCTTGACTAGGCTAACGTAAATCTATTAGGTTTTATCCTTTTTGCTTATGAAAGGAACATTGGCTCTTTGATACGAAATTGTGAAATATATGTCATTGGTTGCCATGGAATCGGAATACAAAACTCAACGTGGGCTGCCACTTATAAAATTCATTAAATGTTATTGTTCCTACAATGTTTTTGAAAATAGTAGAATCTCATTTTGAACTAAGGGTGGTTTGAAAAAATAGTTCGCATATCAAATGATAATGGTGATTATGATCAGGAATCTGATTTTATGTATGGCTAGCGTTATTCAAAACAATATATTCCGTTTTTTTAGCGGACTTAAACCTATGCGAATTCTATTTTATCATTTTGAATTACAATCGATGATATGGCTTTATCCAGCCATGAAAAGCCAACAATTTTTTCAGCCACCCACCTGTTTTAAAATGTATACAGCTCCATCTACAGTGTGTTGTCACGTGACTACAGAGGGAATGGTGTCAGACGATTAGTGTCAGTGTTGTTAGTGTGATATATATATTCAATGGTGTGTCTATGAAACGTGTGTTTTGAACAGTTAAAATGCCTTTATTTGGGAAAAAACACGATTCCGATAAAAAGAACAATAAAGAAGGAAGTATTCGAGCCAAATATGAATTTAAAGAAACATTAGGAACGTGAGTAAAATTATTTTCACATGTCATTTTCAGAATGTCTTGTTCTGTTTTATCATGCATGTCGGAATCAGAAATATAAAAATCGAACACGAATATGTCATTGTGGTTTGATTATATGATATTTAATGACG